TTTTTAAAAAAAAAAAAAAAAAAAAACTAATGAAGATAAGATATGTATTTTTCATATAACATTCAATCACTTAACTAAAGTTAGGTAACGTTTAAATGTGACTCAAAAATTAATTTGATTTGTTTTGTTCAAACACCGAATGTGATTGTACTATTGTAACTTTCACCCCTATGGTGATGGAGCTTTATTTCTGGCCACCATACTTATGATGTAAATTAACCCCCTGTTTGGATGGTTGCGTGATTCATTATTATATTATTTTATTGATGTTATATTTGTTTTGATTGTTCTTAAAATTAACACCTTGTTGCTATATAACTATGAAAATGCTCAATTTTTGTAACCACGGAGTTGATGTTTTTTGCGTGGTTATTTATTTCACTTACCCATTATATTTATTAAACAAACGATGCCGTCTATCAAAATATTGTATTCATCAGTAAAGTATAATATAATACAATACGATATTGTACATTATGAAATCATGGGTAATGAACCATCCAAATAGAGGGTAAGGTATATCTTCTGATTGGTTAAGTTGACGTATTCTGGTCTCGTATACTCATGCGGAGCTAGAAGCTTATGCTCTAATAAAACTAAGGATTTGAAAGAAGAAGAAAACTTAATATTTTTGTGCTGTATTTTGTCTTCTTTGCGTTAAGGTAAGTTGCCTACCGTACATCCCTTGCAGTGTGACTCTTTCTCCGATTCTGCATTAACGCAAAATGTTTCGTATACCGAGCTACCTTATTTTTGGACCATCAATTCCTGAGGGAAGAGATAAGCTGTGTATTGCTTACTTGGATTCAGCTTGGAGGCTTTTAAACATATATAATTGGTTCATTTTCTGATGATCAAAAGAGACTTTGCTTGTATGCTGCTTTATTTTTGCCACTCAGAAACTATAAAGAGGAAGAGACAACACAAATTTATTTTCATGTCATTCTTTTTTCTTTTGAAAATTGCATCTTTTTCTAACAGTTTAGTTTATACCTTTTCTTAAGCATTCTGTTTTGTACATTTCTTGTTCAAGAACCAACGCAAAAGGGGACTTGCTTTAATTCAATAATCTTAAAAGGCCATTTTCACCTAATATATCAGTGCATCAAATAAACTTAGACACCCATAGAGTGGGAATCAGGGGAGGTATTGACAGCACCTTCAACTGAAAACAACTCTTCCAAACTTCTCATTAGCAGTCAGAAATACATCAGCCACAAAAGCACACAATATTATAAAGATACACACAAATGTGAAGTAAAGGAAAAAAGAAGTACAAGCATCTCAAACAAAATCCTTGAAAAAAGAAAGGGGGGTTTGAGTAGGCATGAGCAAATAGTAAATTTACAGGAAAAATAACTCTTTCTACATTTCTCTTCACAAATAAACAATAGTCCAGGGCATGGCTTTGCTATGGATTTCCTAAGAGCAGATGACCAGCATTCAAAGAAAGCGCCAATCCATCATATGCCATCCGTTAGTTGTGCCGCTGAGGAACTTTACTCATCGCTGCCATTTCCTCTCTGAAAATACACATTTTAGACGTTTAAAAAAATTAAATATAAGAACTCCATAGAGCTCAGAATTGGGGGGAAAAGCCAGCTCAAGATTCAAAGAATCTTGGTGAGCCAAAATATTCATCACAGAAAATTCCAGTGAATTATCATCCATTTGAACCTTAAAGCCAGTACCAACTGTCATGAATTCGCACGAAAAAGTTTTACAGATAAGAGGACCTTTAAAGGTAACTCAAAATGAATTGCCAAATCTAGGGGAGACCTCAAGCATGTTTCACAATCAATAATGTTGGTGTCTATGAAAGTATTAAGGCTAAGTCATATTAAAGAATTATCATATAACAAAAAAGTAGAGTAGTTAGCCGAAACCAGAAAAAACAGAATCTACGATGAAGAATAATGCAAGGTGATGAACATATGTGAGGAAAGATTTGATCTGCATAAACAGTGCTGGAATTGCAAGTTCAAGCAGGTAGTTGATACCATTTGTTAGTTGCTCAAACACTAAGGGGTCTTCTACTCATCCACATGAATATGCCACCACATGAGCATATTGTTAATAGTTTTCAGAAGAGTAGGATATTATTACTCGGTTTTATCCTCAAGGGAAGCAAGTAGGAAATGGTTGGAGGACGGGATTAATAGGTCCAAAATCGAGAAACTGCATCAATCCATGAGACACCCTTGCCAACTTACAACCCTCGCAACTCATACTGGTTTTCATGGCATTAGATAATAGCAATAACTTTTCATGACAATTAGATTATCCCGTCCAAAATCGAGAAACTGCATCAATCCATGAGACACCCTTGCCAACTTACAACCCTCGCAACTCATACTGGTTTTCATGGCATTAGATAATAGCAATAACTTTTCATGACAATTAGATTATCCCGTCCAAAATCGAGAAACTGCATCAATCCATGAGACACCCTTGCCAACTTACAACCCTCGCAACTCATACTGGTTTTCATGGCATTAGATAATAGCAATAACTTTTTATGACGATTAGATAAGCAATGAATGTATGAACATCTGAAGGTTTAGGAAATACCCTGTGGAGATTGAGTTCCGTTTCCCTTTGCACCGTGCTGTGCATTAGACAAAGACCGCTGGATACGAGGTGAACCTTGCCTACCATTTGAACCGGGAAGTGAGTGTCTCTTTTTAATGAATTCATCTTTATTGTGGACATCTGGACTAGATCTCGGAGAGCTA